CAAACACACACACACACACACACACACTGACACACACAAACACACACACACACACTGACACACACAAACACACACACACACACTGACACACACAAACACACACACACACCCACACACACACATTGACACACACTCAAAGAATAAAAAACAATCACCTGTGCCTGCTGACAACACTTGTTGAAGTAAGAATCAAACCAGCTGGTAAAATAGGATTAAGGTAAATGTGTATTCAGACTAGTTTTAAATTCTTTCAACGTAGGTGCCTGGCTTAAATGGAGTATGGGAGAGAAAGAAAGACAGAAAGAGAGGCAGAGAGAGAGGGGGAGAGAAGGAGAGAGAGAGAGAGAGAGAGAGAGAGAGAGAGAGAGAGAGAGAGAGAATTTCACACTAAGGGAGCAAGTGCTTTCAGACGAAAGGTAATGTGTCGACAAGAGACTGATCGGCATCCCGTGGTGGCATTCCCATTGTTTTGAGAATACGGAATCCAACTGTATGCTCATAACTGTCTTCACTGCCACTGAAAAGGAATTTGTGGCCCTCTAGGGTAGACGCTTCTCCGAGTTTAAAAAAAAAGGAATTGAGTTACGGTTGTCATCTTGATGTAGAGTATCTTGAGCAGTGTCACATGGCGAAGCCCATGTCTCTTCACGCCAGACCACAGTCCTTTTCCTCCATTTATGTCGTCCACTTTGGTCTTGAACACATAACCGTTGGGTCTAAGAAGAAAAGTTGTCCGCCTTGGTGGGTAACCTGTTTCATGGAGGTCATTCGCCCACTGACAGGCAGTATTAACACCAGCCAGCCAACGCGGTTTATCATACCTGCAGAGCCAAGGTACCATGATGTTGCACTTGGACTCATGCGTGATTCTCATTAAAAGCCCGATAAAAGAGAAACAATCCAGAAAAAAAGAAAAACGATTGTGTTGTTCTTGCTTGTATGTTGTGCTTCTCTTTTTAGGTGTGTGTGTGGGGAGGGGGGGGGGCGCAAGGGAAAGGGAAAAGAATATCTTATTTGTTTCCCCGCATTTCATGACAATAGAAAGTACTGATGAGACCAGCACGTAATAAACGCGAGTATTGTCACTCAGAATGGACGAGAGTGTAAAACTATTGCCACTTGTTGGCTTTCAAGGCGCGGTATTACAAAGCAACAGTCAGACACACTGCCTACATGGGGCAGTCAAATGCCGCCATTCTACCTTTACAACCCCAGTAAACGCGACAAGGTTTACTGAAGTGTCGGAGTATAGAGTTGAACAGCGGATCATATATCACCCTTGCTCAACGAAATGGCCCCCACTTTGTAATGTGAAAATCGAAGGATCAGAGGCGTCCTGTGGTTGAAGTGTTTGATGACAGAGTAAATAAAATACTGCCCTGATCATCGTACCCGTTTTATGATGGTCTTTTGGCTGAATAATCGGTTGGTCATACAGCTTTTGAAGTTTTTCTGTCCGTTTTTCTGTCATATTTGTCAATGCACTTGGCTCTCGAAATCAGTGCTAAGTGCCTGCAGAGATTCGAAAGAGCATGTGGTTTAAGTGAAGAGAGATGAAAAAACTGGATTATTAATTTATTGTGTTTCTAATTCAGCGTGAAGTAAAAGTGTATTGCGAGACGCAACAGAACGAACAGAACGGGACCACTTGGGGTGGTATTGTAGCTTTATATATAT